TAAATAAAGACATGGGAAATATAATATGAATAGTGGCTCTACTTCAAATTTAAGTCATCATCTTAAGAATCATAAAATAAAATTGATGTTAATGTAAATAAACAAGAAATGATGTTGGACAGATTTCTTAAAAGTGGCAGTAATAGTGAACAAATTGTGTGTACTGTATATATTTCAATTAATATATCTACATTTGTAATTTTCTTAATCTGTGACCTGTTGACCCGACGGGTCGGGTTGGGTCAACTGTTTAAAAGTTCGAGTCGGGTCGGGTTGAACCACTGACCCGACCCGACCCGACTCGTTCAGAGCTCTATAAATGACATCAAACACTGGAAGCTTATCTAAAAAAAGAAAGGATTATCTATGAAAATTACCAAGAAGAAAGAAAAATAATAAATGTTAGAAAAAGAAAGCAGAGTGAAAGTGTACTATTACCCAGCAAAAAGCAAAAATCTTTAAAAGGAAAATAGCTACCATTTGATAGTTGGAATGAATTTCAATTTATACAGAGGGAAATTTCCTCAATTACTTTTCAAGATCATCTTTTAGTCTCTTTGACTTCAATTTGAGCAGTTAATTGACCATTCTGTTGATCTTTTAATTTACTGTTTTCTTCTTCTAGATGATTGATTTTTTCTAAACTCTTTATCTTATCCAACAACTCTTGCTTTTTGCCTTTTACTTCATTCCTTGGATTTCTCTTGAAATTTGGCTACTTCTTCCCTTTCAATTTTGAGTGCTTCCTCAGTAATGGTTAACTCTTCTCATAAAGAGTTTATTTGCCTTTCATAAAAAAGTGCCATTCCTCCATTTTGATGAGGTAAAAGAGGGAGATCTTTTTCATTACCCTCTTCTTTACAATCACAAGTGTATCTGGTCTTTAATCTTCCACAACTGCACTTAGGCAATTCATCATTTTTTAACTTTTCTTTACAATCTTCACAAGCCTTATCACTTTCAATCATTTCACCAGTCATTTTGCTTTGTGTTCTGATTTGACAAACTGCGTTTTCTAAGCTGAGGCAAAAATCACAAGTAGCATTACTGCTACATCATTCTTCCAGTTCTAAAATTGTATAGAGAAATTCTCTCATAATTACTTAAGTGGAACTTCTATTTTAGCAACAAGTTCTTGACTGTGAAATTTCTCCCTTTTAATTAATTTCAGCAACTGTTGAACCTTAGATCTTGCTTTTGTTTTTAATTGCTTAAATATGCTCTGTTTAGTTGGAATATTATTTTCTTCTTCTTTAGGCAAAGCAGGTAGAGACTTCCTTTGTAAATAAAGCTGTCTTTTTAATTCCATTTCTTTTTTTTCGCTCCTTTCCAACATTTTTGACTTCTCCTTTACTGCTACTTGCAATCCTTTATTCTTTGAAATTTCCTTGGCAACTTTCTTATCAGCTCTTTGTAACATTCGCAAATTTTCTTTGATCTTTCCATGGAATTCATCTCTCACATTACTATTTAATTCTTGCAAAACTCCAATAAAGTCACAGTGAGTTTTAGCATCTAATTCTGGTGCTGTAATTTGTCCTTTTTGTTTTTCAATAATTATTTCTTTTTCTTTCAAACCTCCTTCTAACTCAATATTCCTCTTTTCTAACTTTGCATTTTTTTCTTCAAATTTTTTATTTTTGTCATAAATGAACATAAAGGAATCTGAACTATTTCAGGTTCACTCAGTAAAACCTTTAACAATGTTTTCAAGGGTGGATTCATCATTAAAAATAACTTTCTCAACTCAATTTTCTTTTTGAACCTTTACCCATTCATCTCAAGCTCAAAGTTGTTGTTTTAAGATCATTAAAGTGCCAGCAATTTCTGAACTTTCATTTTCCTTAACACTTTCAACTGTGATATAGATTCTTTAGTTTAAATTCTTGTTCTTTATCAGCCAATTGTTTTTCTAAATCAGCAATTTGATTTGATAATTCTTTGTTCCTCTGTTCGAGTTCTGTTATTACATTTACCATGATTTTCTTTTTTAATTTATTTGCTCTTTTAATAACTTATATAAATTATTTTAGTACTTTTTTACTTTAAAAAGTGGAATATTCATTGAAAGATTAAATTTATTATACTTAATGACAGTTAGGAACAAATTAATGTGTGATGAAGTCATAGAGGTGATTTTATTTTATTCATTGCCAGTATAGATTGGTCTTGGGCAAGTGATGTCTTTAAACCCATTCTTTACAAATGGGTGAATATTATGATAAAGGTATTCTTGTCTTTTGTAGTCTAAAGGAGGTGGTGTTAACACTAAAATAGATAAAGATTTAATCTCTTCAAAAATATCTGCTTTCTTAGTTTTTGATAAATTGAATACAGTCAAAGGTCCATTAGCAACCTCTTGAGTTTTAACAACACCAAGATTAGATGCTTCAAAAAGAAAATGTTGATATTTCTGTATATTTGGCAATTTCTTAAAATAAATTCCCAAAATTGCTTTAATATCCAAGTATTGAAAATCTTTTCCATCTAATAACATTGAGTTTTATTCAATCCTGCTGGACTGGACCTTTTCACTACATGAACCACATGACCCATACAATCTACTCTTGTTTTTCTGTAGAGTTTTTTAATCAGTCCAATACTACCATCACATTTGAATTTGGTATGTCCTGGAACCATGAAATTTAATTCAATAGTTTCATAATAACCACAAATTACCAAATATAAATAAAACCAAATTGTTACATTGTTTTTATTTTGTCCCCCAGCATTATCACAAGTAATCTTTAAATGCTTTTCACCCTTATTTGAGGCATACTGCAACAAAACCAGACAAAGTGAACTTAAAAATTTCAGTCATTTTTTCTACAAGAGAAAATTTTTTCTTTATTATATATTTCTAAACCTTATACATTAAAATGGAATCAAATAGGTGGGTGGATTTTCAATTATTTATAATTAGTTTATTTGCAATGATGGACCAGATAATAAGATATTGTGAATAAAATAATGATATAATTTTAAAAATAATTTTTTTCTCATTTTCGAGAAAAATCATCTAAGGCAAGTTGATTCATTCCATATGAAAACTGTGAAGATCGTTTTTTTAATGTTTTGTCTGAAAGTTTTATTAAACACGAATTTATCAACAGCTGTCAAAAAAAGTTATAGTCAGTTAGGAGTCATGTTGCATTGTGCAAATATTAATATCAAAAAGAAAATACTTACTGCCCATTTAATTATTGTCTCATAAAAGTAGACAAAATCTTCGATTTCAGAAAAATCCTGTGGAACAGTTGCATTATCAATTTCAACAAGGTGATAACATCCTATTTTATACATATAATAATATTTCAATTTAAGTTATCATCTTCAATTATGTGTGATTGTATAAAAAACAAGTCATATACCAGCAAATCGAAGCACATATAGATGTATCTCAAGTTTATAACTAGTTCCCCCAAAGACTTCAAATTCTGGTGTTATCACCTTTCGTTTTCCTATTCTATCTTTTATGATATTGAAAAACATCTTTTTCAAATTTTTTGCAACCTTCACACGGTCATCTATTTCTTTCTTTTCTCTGACATTATGTGGACGACTCCCTTCAATATATACTAGTTGATACTTGTTGACATCATTTGTGAAACCAATTCCATCGCCTTTTTGTCTATAGATATTATGAATTGAAGTTACTTCACCACTTACAAGATTTGGTAATAATAATTAGAATGATATTCAGAATTGCCATAAATACAAGAGTACAAGAGGAAATTTATTACAATGTGTAATAAATGTCAGCACAGTACATCAAAGCAGCTTTCAGGCATGGATGTACAAAATCATTTAAATGACACTGCTCTAGAGTCTGTATATTTTGAAGTGGGTTGGAATGTCCAAGAGAAAAAGCCTGTAAACTAAAAAAGCAAAATAGATTTCATTGGTAGTGTTCATTGGTAACCATCTTCTCCCAAAGCATAAGAACAAAAAGTAAACTATATACAAAGTATCAAAAGTTTTTTTTATAATTCTTATTGACATTTGAGTTACTTTGTCAAAACTTTTGATATTCAAGTCATCTAAAACATTTAGCCATTGTCAATATGTCAAGTCCTTGTTGCCAAACAAAAGCATAATATTAATAGAGTACATACAAGTCAAGTAAACATTCATTATAAATATCATGACTCTTACCTGCCCAAAAAATTCTACTAGAAAATCATGTGTTTCATCGGGAATAATATTATCCAAATATTCTAATGATAAAAGGTATTCTTTGTACACATATTTAGGCAACGTTCTTATAAATGAACCTTTTGGTGTCAGATCCATTATATTAGCAATTGCCAAAGGATCCTTATTGTCCTTCTTGTAGTTTTCAAAATTTTCAATAATAACCTTGAAATTCTTGTTGATTGATATTTCTTTACAAATGATTCCCTCAATTTTAACCTAAAAAAATATATTTTATAATTGCCAGAATAAGAAAACTGTCCATAAATGAAAAAATGTATTTTTAATAACCAACTTCAATATCATCTGATTCTTCACTAGAATCAATCTCTTCAGTAGAATTAATTCCTTCAGTATTTTCATTAGTCTTTTGTTTTTTGGCTATATCGGTTGCTAATTCCACATGCTTTTGTTTCTCAATATCAGCTATAAGGTTTAAGCAACTAGCTTCATTCAATGTTCTAGAGTATGCCTGATTTTGCATTATATTCTCAATGAGTCCCGCTTCCTAATCAGTGTTAGAATCAGAAAAAAAGTTTTTTAATCAGATTAACCTATCTGAATGTTGGCCACAGTATTTATTCATTGACTCAATTGGGTTCCAAATTTTGTCAACGGTAAAAAACAATGGTAATTTAATCTTATTGAAGATGTAATTTACTTATGGATGATGATGTGTAAGTTCCATTATTTTCCTGTAGTTTAGAGATTGGGATTAATATGAAAAGCAGTTAATCAATCTAATCAAAGAGAATAAGTCTAATTAAATTATTATTACTTTATCATTTTGATCATCATGTATTGGTCGTTTCTTTTTCCTAAAGAATAAATAATAAATCAGAAACTAGAATAACAATGAGTGGTGGGTGATAACCACCACCACCATCCTTAAAACACTTACCCTTGAATTATTTCGTTGTTATATTTACTTCTTTTGTTGTTGTCTTTTTTTGAAGCCATTTTTTAAGAGGAAAAAATAAAAAGAAGTTTGTGAATGATCGATGCGTGTTCATTAATTATTTATCCTATATATTGGTTTTTTTTTGGTAGGACGCGAATTGATTTTTTTTTTCTTGGACTCTGTCAAAAAATAAATAAATTGTTTTTCCAAGGTGACAAAACGTGAACGTTGTTGTTTGGTTTGGTTTGGGTCTCCTAAAGAATGCGTGTTAATGACTAACCAGAGGTACTATTTTTTATTTGTATTGATGTTTTTAATTTCATATAAATATTTTAATTGGAATCAAAACGCGGAGCAGATCTTGCTGTGTAATTACAAGATTTTCATTGATAATATTTTACTTTGCGTAATCATTAATAATATTATTATAAATATTATAATTACAAGATGTCAAGGGAGCATGACTGACATTTGCAGAAGAAACAATTCAAATATGAAACATTTTGATATGTGATGTTTGATTATCGGGAATTTATAGACGTTGGGGCACACACACTACCTTGAACACTACAGTCATTCTCACGTATTCCTCGTGTACACAAGGCTAATCTGACCGAGTCACTCTCAATGATATGATGCAACAGAATTCCAGGGGAGGGATGTTTTGGCCCTGGAGTTTATCAAAGCTGCATTGTTCATCAAAAGACACTTGAATCTTCCTTCACAGCACCATGCCAAAGAAGGCTGCCATGCTAGCCGAAAAGTTGCTTGCAACGATCCACCTCTAGGGTAAGGATGGCTCTGTGACCAAGTTGCAACTCTGCTGATGAATTATAGTGCCATGTAAATACCCAGATCCATCAAAGCAATGAGAATCTGTAACTTGTTTCAAGCACAGGAGGTTACAATTCAGAGCAGGGTTGGTAGCCCTGAAATTGCTTTTGGCTCTGATGTTAAGAGGAAAGTTGTAAAATAGTGTTTGTTTTGTATAATCACTTTCCTAAATTCTCTGTTTATTTGATTCTGACAAATTTATAATATTGGGTAGGGACTGGATTGGGTTTTTGCCCAACCAGTCCTCTGTCCTCTAGGTTAAAATTATCACATGATTATATACATCTTTGACAGCAATATGTATGGCCAACAAGAAAAAAGTTATAAAATGGTTCGGATTTTGTTTGGTATGTTTTGTGCAAGTTAAACATTTTCCCAAATTTTCTGCTTTTCTTTAATTTTTATTTGACCAACTGAATTTGTTTTTCGAATGGGGGTAGGGTTGTTGGTGAGTAGGCATGTCACTGACAAAACAGGAGACGCCTTTGAGATATACCAGCTAAACTCATAGAAAGGGATCTTTTGTCCAGACTTAGGGTCACATGGATGTTAAGCACAGAAAATGTACACTATCAATG